CTTTTTAAAAAAAAAAAAAAAAAAAAAAAGGAATCTATTTCTTTTCTATAAGTTTAAAGATAGTTCTGACTTTGAGAGACAACAGTGTGTTTGTATGATAAGTGATAACTTGAAATAGAGTTCACTTTGTGACAAGTCAATTGATACTTATTCCTTCCTCCTCGTGGATTGCAAGCAGCTAATTTTTAAAAAAGAAAAAAATAGTAATTATTCTATATTTCTTTAAGAAAATCACGTACTCCAAAAATACCATTTTACTATTTGGTACGGTAAAAAAAATTGTAGCCAAATGATTTATTTCCCAATAAGATTTTAAAAGAATTAAGTTCCACCAAAATTAACATTTACTTCTTTAATTCTATTTACTAAAAATACTTTAAAACGGGACTCTAAAAGAAATTACAAAACAGATCTTGTTTATAAAAGAAAACTGTATTTTTTTCCCAGAAACATCAACGTAGTTTATTTATCTATAATCGACTCAATAAATACTAAATAAAATTTAAATTTCTCGGAAAGAAAAGAAAAAAATTGAACTACATAGTGAATAAGATGGACAGGAATCCCGACTGGCGATGGATTTTTAAATCCCCTACCCGACCTGACCATTAATTATAATATTTATATTTAAAAATAAAAAATAAAATATAAAAACCAAAATGGGGCAATTTTGGTCGAAAGACAATCAATTTGCCTTTCCCTTGACGTTAGGATTGTTTGGGAGAGTGGGTTAGGTCAATTCCACAATGTTTTACTGAATTAATTTGCAAGCAAAAAACAAAAAATTAAATCAAATGTAGGGATCGAATTTAACATAAGGAATGTAATAATGAGTATGGTCAATATTTTGTTGGTTATATTTTCAATATCATCCAAAAATAAGTATTATTGGCTTCATACTTACCTCAACAATAAAATTTTCAAATACTTACCCAATTTAAGCTCTATTAAAATTTTCAAATACTTTTAAGCTCTATTACGAAATCAAAACTAAATCAAAGGTTAGAAAAAGGAGAATGAGCTAGATCCATCATGATTAATTGGATCTATATGATTGAATTTGTTCTTCCGAAAGGTAGTTCTAACATTGATTAATTAAAAATAAGATCATGAGTTTCAAGAAAGACATCTACGTTGATATCAAAACTATTAAAATTTATGTTCAAAATCGATAATATCTTTCCTTCGTTACAAAAACATCATATAAAATTTGGGATCGTTTTGAGCATAAATACGCTACTGAAAACATGGCAGAGCTTGTGCAGTTGAAAGCTAAGTTGCAAGCGACAAAGAAAGACGGCTCATCAAGAAAATAATCTATAGAAAAACTGAATTCCTATGCAGATATGTTAAAGTTGTGGCAAGAAATAAAGCTTGAAAGAGTCGATGTTAATGCATTTGTAACTTTTTCAGTTCAAATCAAGAGAGAAGGGAGTAGCAATCAGAATCACAGTTAAGCTTAAGCTAACCGATCAATAAAGTACAGATTATTAAGAACGATTACTTAATCAATTTTACCTCTGATCTTCGAAACTGGAGAAGGTTACAGTATTCTCAATTGGTCCGGACTGAAAACTCCATTGAAGTGGTACGCGCAGCTTCTCAGGTTCTCAGCCAACAACTTCCGGCCCAAACCATTTTACATAATTAACCTCTTCCTTCTTGTAAGGCAGAAGAACTTCAATGACGTTGAAATTTCGATTGGACCGCGTTGTATTATAAATTGCATCAAAGCGTGATACAGAGCCTAAGAATCCTAGCAAGAGAAGGCTGAGATTAAGCGGCAGAAACGGAGAAGAAAACCGACGAAAAACAGAGAAGAAAAAGCCATCGAAGATGAAGAAGGCGGGAATGTGAGAGAGAATTGAAATTTTCACTATTTATAAGGTGAAATATTTTCGTAGAGCGCTACGCGGACGGCTTACGGTTCAGCCGTGGGCTTCAATTTAAGGCCCAAATAGAAGCCCACTTACCAAGTTGTCCAGATGTACTTTTCGGCCCATTAGACTAATCAAAACGACTTGGGAAAAAAAATACATCAATTTTAACAATTCAAATTATTAATTTCACGTAAATAAACGTAATTTTTAATGCTTCCTTCTTCAAATGGCAAGAAAATAATTTGGGATTATTACTTTTTTTTATTTGGAAAATGACTTATCACATTCTACCAATAAAAAATAATTTTTGATATCCGAGGAGGGCGAGCAAAATGATCATAACTCATTTGAGATTAGGGTTTGTTACTGTTTTGGCGGGGTCAGAGGGGCCGTATTCATATTTTATCTCTGTGTCCATGTTCATATTTTATCGACATGCTCACTGAAAATACCGATGTTTCATCAATTTTGATATTAAATCATTGGCTAACATAGCTTGTTCAACAACTCAGAGTGTAGATCTTTTTTTTATCATGAAACTAGAATGAACAAAGACGAAACTGCCACATCTTGGGCTAGTGGTCAATAAAAGTCGATGTAAATATGTAAATAGAGAAAGAGGAAATACATTCAAGCTACGTAGTCGTCTATTTAAGATTTAATATCATACAAGTTTCTTCGATGACTAAATTTTGTACGGTAACGTCTAAAAAGAAATGATTTAAAGAAAAATAAAGAGGATTCATAGGCTCCAAGACAATTTATTCCAGAGAGTGCACTCAACATCCAAAATGGTTAAGCAACTCAGCATAGACACATGCGCGCGCGCGTGTTTCTTAGCAAAATTTTCCATGAATATACAGATGAAGTATTCGAGGTAAGTTGTGGTTAAGTCATCTCTAAGCTAAGGTAGTTAATAAGTTGTAAAATTGACCTTCCTAATCACTCTCATGAATGAACACCATTATGCACGGTTGTAAGTGTACCACGAAAATGTTAGGAATCATGAATCTACACAATGGTATTGTATATGACATTGTCCACTTTGAGCATATGCTCTTGTGGTTTTGCTTTTGGTTTCCCTAAAGGGCCTCGTACCAATGGAGATGTATTCTTTACTTCTCAACCCCTTAATTAGCCAAGGTGGGACTCCACTCCCAACAATCTTCGACAGAAGATCTCGGGCAACAGCGTACGAGTAACTCCGAAAAATCACAAAGAAACTAGAGAAAGTAACAGCAAATCCTAATCAGAATTCACTTATTGTTAACTGAATGTCAAAACTAACTATGTGATCTATAGAAACAGAGAAACCTATATTAAGTGTTAGAAAACCTTTGGAATTACCTGTATAGTCAAAGAGATAGGCCAGATCTCCCATCATATGGCTCCTTGTATAGATTTTCCCTGTGGTTAGAATCTGCCTCTTCACTTTCAGGACAACCTGGTCTTTCGGTAAGAAACTGTTCCCAGAAAACATCATTGACCCTGATAGGAGCAGCTGGAGGTCCATGATTGTTCATTGAGGTGTCTTGGGGACAACCCAGTCTCATATCTGATTCTTTTGCATTTGAATCTACCTTTGAATCTGGGGATTTTCGAACATTCTGACTCTGTTGTGGCGTTCTAACCGAACAAGCAGTGTCGTTGTTTCGCAGCGAAGAAGAAGCCAGGGTGAGATTCAAATGGCAGGAGATGTGACTTTCTCCATCTTCTTTGGAACTAACATATGGTTGCAATAAGTGCAGAAGTGGGCTCTTGTCATTAGGCGATTTCCCTGACAAAGATGAATCCCTCTTCAATATAAACGATGCCCCAGTGTCTGAGAGATCTAATGTTTCAGCTGCAAAATGAAGATGTTCTTGGACAGCTCTTGACATATTTCGTTGTGAACTTCCCCCTTCTTCATTTGAACTCTGAGTGCTACATGAAATCAAGTTAATATCTGATGCACATGAAGTTTCTAATCTCAGCTTATGTGAGAAATCTTGATGAAAAATAATCCCAGGCTCAGATTTGGAACTACAATGGCTATCCAAAAAACTGTTTTCGACGACTGGCTGTGAATGATCGGCAGAAGGCAGTCGTCTCTTTTTGTTAAATGCTGTGAAGTCCATAGACTCGACCCTTCGAGCAAGATGTTCAACAAAAGAAGGGTTCTGAACAGCCTTTTCTAAGAAAGCCAATAAATTCTTCTGCCTTTTTTCCATGCTTTCCACCTTCATCGTTAGTTCTTGCAACTGAAGTTTAGCACTCGATTTTTTCTGTTTGAACCTTGAGATATTAGCTTCAATTGTTGTTTTTTCACTAGATAGCCTCCCTATTTCATCTTCAAAAGCAGCTCTCTCTGGATCTACATGAGATCCTTGAGGATTACTGTGACTGTGAATTGGTTTCCGACGGTGGATGTTCTTCAGCAGATGTTTTTTATCCTTTATGAAATCTTCATTGGCAAATTCCCACCTCTCAGCATCTTTCTTTCGAAAGCCCTGCCAACAAAATTTTCAAACCTCTCAAGTTCATGCTACTTTTTAATCCCATAGTCACTTCAGTTTTTCAAAACGAAAGAATGATATAATTTTCTTGTAAAATGAGGTGTAGAACAGTAGCAATTCAAGAGATTTTAGCATGACAGATGGAAAAATCATTCCCTCCGAAGGTCCATTTCTTGATATATGAATCGAGTAATAACAAATTGGGAGCGCAAGCGTAAGTGGAGAGAATTCTCTTCTTGTAGTATCTCAACTAGAAAGATCTGTTGGAAAATTCTTCTCAGAAAACTTCCCAAAGAAGGAGGCGATTTGAGAATCTCGAAGCTAATAGATTGCGTAACAGAATATGATTAACAAACGAAATTTGGTTTATCAACGCAACTCGTGATATGTAATTAGTTAAATCCCTACGAGTTACATCAATTGAAGCTCGTAAATACAGAAACAACTGGAATTGGAATGTATACAGAACAATTAAGAATCGCTAAAACGCATGAGATGAATGTATTATGTTTGAACACATATGCATATTATGTAAATGAGGGAGAAAAAACAGCAATAAAACCATTATTACGCAGTAAGGAACATACTCAACGATCAATTAACGGGAGGAAGAAACTCAAATCACGAAGACGACGAAATCAGAACACGGAGCGAAAGAGGAATTTCCAGAAACTTACGTAGGTATTAAGTTGCCGAATGAAGCTGGAGAAGTTGTTGTGCTTGAAAAACGTAGGAAGAAGAACGCGAGCGAAGTCAGGGGGATTCCAGACCACAAAGCTGTTCTTGGAAGAGGACCATGAGACGATCTCGTCAGTGGCGGAGTCGTCAACCATTTCATAGGTCTTGATGAGAAACGGCGCCGGACCAGCGCCGCCAGCAGCTGCCTCCATTAGCCGTGAACGACGGCGGATCAGGATCTGAATTGATCACCAAAAGCGGCGGAGACCGAATTGAAGTGGAGAATTGGAGACGAAGATTACGGAGGTAGAGGATGAAGATGGTGGTTAGTTTTTGGTGTGTAATCGACCGGTGAGGTTCTTCAAGATTGACTTTGAGCTTATTAGTTCTTTATTTTCTGTGCTAAAAATAAATAAATAAATAAATAAAAGCTACCTACTATTTGTCTCGGTGACATTGGTAAACGGGTGGAGAGGGGTCGTTGGAGAATTTGGGAAGATTTTTTTCATTAAATAATTAGAACCTTTTTATTTTTTATTTTGTTTTTTCAAACCCTACATTTTAATCTAAATTTTAAGAAAATGGTTTATTTTTTATCTCAATTTTTTTTATATCTTAATGGAGAGGAGTTGACTTTATTATATAAATATATATATATATATATATATATATATATATATATATATATTTTCTCGTTCTTTTTCTTTTGCTCACTCCTTTTATGTTCACTTGTGTGAGTCTCTTGAAAGCAAGCAGGAATCTCTTGTGTTACAAGGGATGTGAGTGAGCACAAATCAATCGTTCCATATTCAAAGGACGTGAGCGAGTCCCTCAAAAGCAAATAGAGAATCTCTCGTGTTATAAGGATGTGAGTGAGCACAAATCAATCCTTCTGTATTCAAAGGACGTGAGTGATGTTAAACATATAATAGGTCATATTTATACATAGTAAAAGATGATCTGCTGATTTACTGGTTTGTTACCATGGATCAAGGCCCACTGTGTAATCCTCATTATACACATCTATAAATACATAAGGTCGTGACCTATATAGCTCACAGTGTCATTCAACCTATCAAGTGAGTCCCTAGAAAGTAAATAGGGAATCCCTTGTGTTACAAGGGATGTGAGTGAGCAATAACTCTCTCGTTCCATATCCAAAGAATGTGAGCGAGTCCCTCGAAAACAAACAGGGAATCTCCCGTGTTATAAGGTATAGCATGGAATCTCCCTTGTTACAAGGGATGTGAGTGAGCAAGAACCCCCTAGTTTCATATCCAAAGAACGTGAGTGAGTCCCTCGAAAACAAATAGGGAACCTCTCGTGTTACAAGGGATAGCAGGGAACCTGTTGTGTTACAAGGGATGTGAGTGAGCAAGAACTCTCTCGTTCCATATCCAAAGGACGTGAGTGAGTCCCTCGAAAAGAAACAGGGAATCTCCCGTGTTACAAGAGATAGCATAGAATCTCCCATGTTACAAGGGATATGAGTGAGCAAGAACTCCCTAGTTCCATATCCAAACGACGTGAGTGAATCCCTAAAAAACAAACAGAAAATCTCCTGTGTTACAAAGGATAGCATGGAATCTCCCATCTTACAAGGGATGTGAGTGAGTAGAAACTACCCCATTCCATATCCAAAGCCCGTAAGTAAGTCCCTCGAAAACAAACAGGGAATCTCCCGATCAATCGTTCCATATCCAAAGAATACGAGTAAGTCCCTCAAAAGCAAACAGGAAATCTCCCCTTATATGTCAAGGGATGCGAGTGAGCATAAAGCAACCATCGACAATAGCAAGGAACAACAAAGGACGAAAAACAATAGAGAGCGGGGAGAAAAGAGAAAAGAGACATATTATAAATAAAAATGGGACATAATTAAGGTAATTTAGCCTAATTTTATTCATAAATAAACCCATTTTTAGACTTTTGTTCCTTTGGTACTAAAAGGAATCCAACAAAAAAAGAAAAGAAAAGAAAAAAAAAGAGTACATATAGAAATGGGAAGCAAAAAGAATGAGAAGAAATCTCAAAATCCCCAAATTGCTCCACCACCAAGGCCAAATCCCATGTGAAGATTAAGAGAGAGAGAGAGAGAGGAAAAAAGAGCCCCCAGTGCCCAGTCCCCACGCCAACGACATCCATCCCTCCACCCACACCCACCCACCCACCCCACCCTTGGCGGCGGCTTACATGCCCATCGCCCACCATCCCATCACCCGCCCCGCCCAATCCACTTTCGCCATGTCACTAGTTTCCCTCCTCCTCCACTGCGCCCCACGCGCACTTTATCACCTCCCTCCCCCGGCGCACCTTAGCCCTCCCCCCTTAGCGGTGGCCTCATCCTCAAATTCCTCCCCCCTTTCCTCTTTCTCTTTCTCTCTCCGCCGCTCTCTCTTCTTCGACCCTCTTCCTCTCCCAGATCTACTCCCTTCCCCTTCTGGGTTCTCTCCAGATCTCTCAATTTTCCATCCTTTTTCGTGAATCCTTTATGATTTCCTCTGCCATGGGATCTCCTTCATCGCCGATCGATGGATCCCCCCCTTCTTCTCACCCTTCCAATCCGCTTCAAGCGCTGCCGCTTTCAGCTCCTCTGCCTCCTCCGTCCAATCCGCCGCCGCAGGCTACGGCCTCGTCTCGCCGCCTTCCGCCTCCCTGCTGGTCGCACGATGAGACGATTGCTCTCATCGATTCTTACAGGGATAAGTGGTATTCCCTTCGTCGGGGGAATCTCAAGGCCACTCACTGGCAGGATGTTGCCGATTCCGTTTCACATCGTTGCCCTAACGCGTCGCCGCCGAAGACCGCCGTGCAGTGCCGTCACAAGATGGAGAAACTCCGGAAGCGGTACCGTACTGAGCTTCAGCGGGCTCGGTCTATGCCGCTTTCGCGATTTACATCCTCTTGGGTTCATTTTAAGCGAATGGATGCTATGGAGAAGGGGCCGTCCGCAAAGCCGGAGGAATCGGATAGCGGTGGGGAGGAGGAGGAGGAGGAGGATGAAGATGATCAAGAACTGTACGAAGAGTTTAGGAATGCTGGGGCTTCTGGGACTCGGAGTGTGAGAAAATTGTATGGAAATGGAATTACCAGTGGAGGGAGTAATAATGGTGGCGGTGGAAGTGGCGGAGATGGAGCCGCGGCGGGAGGGTTTCGGATTCGAATTCCAACTGGTGTGAGTATAGCGCAACCAGGGTTGAAAAATTATCCAAAAGCTGAACAAAAGATGAACCCTAATTCAAATCCAGGTTCAGGGATGAACCCTGCCGCCGTTAATTTCGGTACCAGAGTTGTGAGGGAGTCAAATCCGATGAGGCCGGTGACGGGGAAGAGAGGGGAGAGGGAAAGGGAAGGAGATCCAGTTGCAGAGATGGTGTCCGCCATTAAAACACTGGGAGATGGGTTTGTAAGAATGGAGCGGATGAAGATGGAAATGGCCAGAGAGATCGAAGCTATGAGAATGGAAATGGAGATCAAACGAACAGAGATGATTCTTGATTCACAGCAGCGGATTGTGGAGGCTTTTGCCAAGGCAGTTACTGAAAACAAGAAGAAGGCGAAGAGAATCCCTTCTCCAGAGGCCTAAAATGGCTGCCCCTTCCTCCATTTTTGAGCTCAATTTGCTCAAATTCCAATGGGGTTTTCTTCCTTCCTCTCAAAAGATGATTGGTTGTAGAGAATATCAGGTTCTGAAACTCGACAATGATCCTAGTTAGGTTCTTCCTCATGTTTTGTTCCACTTTTTTTCTTCTTCCACATTGTTCTGTTCATCTTTGACTGGATTAGCTAGATTGTGATTGTCTAATCAATGTAGCCATAAACAAAAGCTTTGATAAATTTTCACATATAGAGGTAAATTATTATTACTATTCAGTTTGGTTGTTCTCTGCAAATTCTAGTCTCATTGTGTTCATCTGTTCAACGGGAAGAACAACAAGCTGTTCTTCCTGTTTGTTTTGTTCTATCTGAAACTCTGAACTTGCTGCAGTTTGTAGCTTCCAAACATGTGGAAGGGAGGTTCAAATTGTGAGAAAGAATCAGATTTTTTGTTTTTTCGTTTCTTTTTCTGTTAAGTTTTTATGAAGAAGAAGATGAAGATGAAGCAGGTGTTTGAACTTCTTGTTGCTGGGTGGTCTCTTGAGCATCTGCAGCTTTATCCTTGTCTTCGACTGTTTTTATCGGGGGAGGCGGCCGAAACTCTTTTTTCTTGAAACCAAAAGACGAGCAATGATACCTGGGTGATGAGCGTAGGGATCAGGCAGCTCAGGAAAGAAGGAACTCTAGGAAACTCTTTTTTCTTGAAACAGGATGTGCAACGGTATTAGGGTGATGAGCTTGGGGATTGGGCTATCTCATGAGGTGAAGGAACTCTTTTTCTTGAAAGTAGAGGCCGAGTGCCAGTAGTAGGGTGATGAGCTTAAGGATCAGGGGCGAAGGAACTCTTTTTTCTTGAAACTAGAGGACGAGTGACAATACCAGAGTGATGGGCTTGAGGATCAGGTGTCTTAGGAGCGAATGAACTTAAGAAACTCTTTTTTCTTGAAACCAGAGGACAATCAACGATATCAGGATGATGAGCTTGAGAATGAGGTGGCGTAGTAGGAACCCTTTTTCTTGAAATCAGAGGACGAACGATGGTATTAGGGTGATGAGCTTGAATATCAGGCGTCTCGGGTGCGAAGGATTGGTGGGTGAGTTCATTGGCTGACCATTTTTTCTCTTAAAAAGGGCCAAATTCTTTTTAACCTTTTTTTGAGCTTAAGATCGGCTCAAAAGTGCTCGGGAGTGATTGCAAGGAGATGTATTAGAAAGTGCTTTTACTTGCACTCACCTTATCTCAGCTCTATAAACTTTTTAGAAAATTATATAATTCAATAAGTATTTAAAGAAAATTTAATTAAAAAAAAAAAAAAAAGGTTATCGAGCTTAAATTGTTCAAACGTTTTGGTTCAAAGAGGATGACCTGTGTTTATAAACTACAAAAAGAGGATGACCCGTGTTTATAAACTATAAAAATCAAGTACGTTTACTTCTTGACTCCATCTAAAATCTTATTCCATTTTCTAGTTCCTCGGGCCCACATGCCTCTAAAATCTTATTCCATTTTCGGTTCCTCGAGCCCACATGCCTCTTTTTCTGTTCTTGACAATGAAGTTTATCTCCCATCGTCTCATTTGTTAACTTTGACCTCCTTTTTTGAGATCATATCTAGTATTTAAGATTTGCCTCTCGATTTAATACTGCTCTTGGGGCTCGTGCTCGTACTGAAACAGTGCTTTACTCTTGTATGTCCAATCGACTGTTGCGTCTTGACGCATTTCAAGGGAACCAACTAACTCAAGGTTCGAGGAACCAACTAACTCAGGGTTCAAGCCTCAACTCATTTCAGAAGAACCAACTAACTCAAGGTTCGAGTAATATTTCAGTTCTAAACGTTATTTTTGTCCTCCATTATTTACCTCCTTTTCCTCCTCAAATGTTTATTTTATTATTTTTTTTCTTTTGGGTTATCTATTTAAGTAGGTTAGAAAAATTATTTTTCATATTTTGATATTTTTTTAATATAATATAGTATAATAATACTACATTTTTAGTATTAATATTTTCTTTTGTTGAATAAAATAATAGGTTAAAAATAAATATATATCATCCTTGACCGAATTGAAGTAATAAAGAAAAAAACGCATCATATCATACGCGCCATCAGACGGTGATTAAAACGCTCACACGGTAAGGGCGTGGACCAAGTGGCACAGACAAGTAACTCCTCTTGGCTTATAAATCACGTCCTCGTTATTAGGGTTTCTAATTTTCCACCGCTCTATATATGCTCAATTTCTTATCTCTCTTCCATTGTTTCTAGGGTTTTTTTTTTCTTTTTTTTTTTCCCTTTAATCTTACGATTTTGAAGCGCTTGTATTTCCGGAAAGATTTCGTATTTCCACCACACGATTTGCATCTCTCAGAGCTTATAGGGTTGTACATCTTTGACGTTTCAGATCTCTGTAGTTGTTCTGATAATTCTGCGAATTTCTCGAGATGCCTCCAAGGACGGTAAAGAGAGGGGGGGCGTCGGCAGGTTCGAAGAGAGGTGGGAGGGTTACCAGAGGTACGCCGAAGAAGCAGGAGAAGCAGGAGCCGGTGGTGGAACGGGAGGTTGTCGAAGAGGTAGCGAAGGTAGAGGAGGTCTCGGTGGTTGAGGTTGAAGAAACCAAGGAGCTTCGTGAGGAAGTCACAGTGCAGGAAAAAAGCCCTGTTGTCGAAGATAAGCCCGTTATTCAGAATAAACCGGTAGTTGTCGAGGAGAAACAACGGATTGCCATAGACGTCGAGGAGGTTGAACCTTCGCACGAAGTTAGATCGAAACAGTCCGCTCCTCCTAAAAGTAAGTACTGCCCTCTGATTTCGAGAACGTTTGCAATAGGGTTGGGAATCGTTGATTTTCTTATATATATGTACGTTTAATTGATGGGTATTAGTAATTATATTTGTCTGGTATACAACTGAGGAATGTTTAACGACTGATGATCTTTTCCGTAGTTCGAATTTGAGACACGATATTACTTCTTGCACCCTTTTCCTAAGTGCCTCCTTTCCCAAAGCTTAAGGTGGATGTACTTATATGGCGATGAAAGTACTAGTTTTCCAGGGGAAATATTAATTAAAATGATCTTTTGAGGATGGAGACATGAAAATTGCGATCGTCTCAGAACAATGTGTTCTTGTGTTACATTCTATTTATGTTTTTTTCGTGGAATCTCATTTCTTAACTTACCCTCTTTCCCTTAGCTCATATTATTGAGGTTTTGTTGGTATAAGGTGTGCGAGTACTTGGCCTGAAGCTGGAATATTTCTATCCCAAGTTCCATGGCTATGCTTGGTTTTTACTTTTTTTAATACCCAGTGTATTTTCTTGAGTGAATTGTTGACCGGGATAGATCTTCAATGTACATCTCGTTTCAGAAGATGAAGAAGAAGTGAAGGACGAAGAATATGGAAAGGATGAGCGCTTGGATCTTGAAGATAATGATCCCGAATCAGAACCTGAGGAGGATGCAGGTTTTGAGTTTGATGAAAAAGAAATTGAACAGGAGGCTGTTCAGGAGGTGGTAGATGGAGAGGGTGAGCCTGTGGACAATGTGGGCCATGAGGAGGGTGATATGGGTGATGATGATGTTGACGATGCTCAGGAGGATCTCGAAGGAGAGGATGATGATCAACAAGCTGGTGAAGACCGTGATCATGCTGGGATGGTTGATGTTGATGAGGATGAGCATCATGAAGTTGTAAAGGAGAGGCGTAAACGCAAAGAATTTGAAGTGTTTGTTGGAGGCTTGGACAAGGATGTAAAAGAGGAGGATTTGAAGGAAGTTTTCAGTGCAGTTGGTGAAGTTACTGAAGTCAGACTGATGATGAACCCCCAGACAAAGAAGAATAAAGGTTTTGCATTCTTACGTTTTGCTACGGTGGAAGAGGCAAAGCGTGCTGTGTCGGAGCTAAAGAACCCAGTGGTATTTTAAGCAATTTTGAATATTTTCCTGTTTACTTAGGATAATGGTAAAGATTTGGACATACCCCCTCAAGTTCATTATATTTAAATGCATGAAATTCCAGATTAATGGGAAACAATGCGGTGTGACTCCAAGTCAAGACAGCGACACACTTTTTCTTGGTAACATATGCAAGACATGGAAAAAGGACATTGTAAGTTGTGGGTTTATCAAATTCTAGTGATCAGTGACTACTCTTTTTTTTTTGTTATAAGGAGTTTTGAATTTCCTGACTTTATGATATTACTGGAACCAGCTGAAGGAGAAATTGAAACATTATGGAGTTGATAATGTTGAGGATCTGACATTGGTAGAAGATAGTAATAATGAAGGATCAAATCGTGGATTTGCCTTTTTGGAATTTGCATCGCGTTCAGATGCCATGGATGCCTTCAAGCGTCTACAAAAAAGGGATGTTGTATTTGGAGTTGATAGACCTGCCAAAGTGTCTTTTGCTGATTCTTTTATAGATCCTGGTGATGAAATTATGGCACAGGTTAGCATTGAGATAACTATTTAATATTCGTGAATTGAAGTGTTGTGTATCTAATTTTCTGACAAATTTACCAGTTGGAATTAAATTATTGGTATTGCTAGCATTATTTTTTGCTTGCGAAGTATCAGAATTTAGCATTGAGATAACTATTTAATATTCGTGAATTGAAGTGTTGTGTATCTAATTTTCTGACAAATTTACCAGTTGGAATTAAATTATTGGTATTGCTAGCATTATTTTTTGCTTGCGAAGTATCAGAATTTAGCATTGAGATAACTATTTAATATTCGTGAATTGAAGTGTTGTGTATCTAATTTTCTGACAAATTTACCAGTTGGAATTAAATTATTGGTATTGCTAGCATTATTTTTTGCTTGCGAAGTATCAGAATTTAGCATTGAGATAACTATTTAATATTCGTGAATTGAAGTGTTGTGTATCTAATTTTCTGACAAATTTACCAGTTGGAATTAAATTATTGGTATTGCTAGCATTATTTTTTGCTTGCGAAGTATCAGAATTTATCTTTGGATAAAAATGTGGAACTTGTTATTTCAGGAAATATTATTTGAGCCAAGTAATGTTTTGTTTTTATTATTTATGGTTAATTATGATGCTTGTATTTTTTTGTGCTATCAAGTATTTCTCTTGTTCTGTTGACTGGGTGGGTATTTGATATGTGGATACTGTTTTCACACTCACTGTTGGAATGTTCGATGATATTAAATTATTATTGTGACACACAAACAGGTTAAGACTGTTTTTGTTGATAGTCTCCCTGCCTCATGGGATGAAGAATTTGTTCGAGGACTCCTTAAAAAGTATGGAGAGATTGAAAAAGTTGAGCTTGCCCGAAATATGCCTTCGGCAAAGAGAAAGGATTTTGGATTTGTCACCTTTGACACACATGATGCTGCAGTTTCCTGTGCAAAAAGCATCAACAACTCAGAGCTGGGTGAAGGGGACAACAAGGTAAGCATTTTTTGTTTTTTGTTTTTTATTGTTTCCGAATTAATGGATTTACTTTCTAAGGTTCCTGTTTCTGAAACAATTACTTCTTCAATTTGCGTTTACTAGGCTAAAGTAAGGGCTAGATTATCCAGGCCTTTGCAAAGGGGCAAAGGAAAACATGTTAGTCGTACTGATTATTGGCCTGGTCGTGCAACTGGACGAGCAGTAAGGGGTTCTTGGGGGCAACCAGGTCCACGAAGTCTTCCTGTTCGTGGAGTAAGAGGAGTTGGCAGCCATCTCCCACCTGTTGGTGTAAAGAGGCCAGGTGGGCTTAGAGATAGACGTCCTGTCAATGCAATGCCAGCACGAGGAAGACCAATTGCTCCCGTAGCTAGGTCTTATGATAGGGGACCTCCTGGTATGTATACTTTTTATATGGACGATGAATTTGGTAATCAACTTCAAGTTGCTGATGTTTGTTTTCTGTACAGTTGCTTCTTATTCGAAGAGTAGCTTGAAGAGGGATTATGGTCGACGTGAGGAACTGCATCCATCCAGAAGCAGGATGCTTGTAGACTATGCCTCCAGGGTTGTACCTGAGAGAAATCCATCCTATAGAGATGATTATGCTTCACGTGCTGCTGCCTTCTCTGATCCACCTCGAAGAGATGCACCCAGGAGAGCTTACGTAGATGATGGATATGGCCGAAGGTTCGAGAGACCCCCTCCTCCAAGCTTCCGTGATGTACGTGCACGTGATTATGATGCTATAATAGGATCAAAACGCCCATATTCCTCGTTGGTAAGATTTGTCATATGCATTATTTTAATACAGTTACATATATTTCTTGTTAGTAGCCTCTTAACTTATTTTGGCCTACTTTTTAGAGTGATGTGCCTCCAGCTTATGCTGATGCTGGTGTTCGTCAATCAAGAAGTCGTTTGGACTATGATTATGGTGCTGGTGCTTCTCAATATGGAGACGCTTATGACAGCAGGTTTGTTATTCCCCACATCATTGGAACACTAGTATAGGGAAGATTTAGATTGTCTGCAATTAGATTGATGCAATACAGTTGCAGTTTACTATTAGCTTCTAGTGTTATTGTTTTACTGACCCAGATTTCTGGTTTGATAGGATCAGCAGATCAAATATTGGAGGATATGATAGTCGAAGCTCTATCTCAGGTCAGGGTTTATACTAGGTGTTTATGTTGCGGCCTTCAGGCTATGAGACGTGGAGGAAGTTTCACGTAATGCTAGGTTGATAAATTCAAGACATTGTTTTGCTTATGATCCTTCCGTTGATTGTTCAGGTTCCTTTAGTAGTGACGTTGGTGGAATGTACTCGTCCAGCTATGGTGGGGATTACATGACTCGTGGTAGCAATGTATGAATGAATTTTTATTCAATTTTTATGTGAACATTTTATATTGAGTTTTTTTTTAAAATAATATTGATCATGTCTCTTTTTATAGGCGGGTAGCAGCTCTTACTCATCTATGTACCCTGGACGTAGTGTGGGAGGAGGCGGCAACTATATGGGCAGCGGTGGGTCTGCATCATACTATTGATGCAAGTCATACTGCTCTTTCATTGTTCCATTCTTGCCATGATTCTTCTTTCTTCTCTCTTCTCTCTTCTCTCTTCTTTCTTCCTTTTATTTCCCCTCCTGCACTTTCTACGTTGGAGACCTTTTCTCCATAAGAAGAATGCCCTTCTTCTTTCTAAGAAGAGTGATTGGTGGAAGTGGAACAATATGGTCACAAGTTATCTGTTTATGGAACAGACTTGATATGAAAAAGAGGCTCCTATAGTATGTGGACGATGTTTGGAAGCGTACATTATCTGCCTACAGTTGTGGGAAGGAAACTTTATGAAGATTAACAGCCTCGAACTTTATTTCTAGAATATGTATTGAACCATGGACCCGACTGGTTAAGTTGTTAAGACCTTGGTTTTTGATATTTGTAATTCTGGATTGGACCATGTAAGGGAACTTGTGACGTATTCAGAAGTGAAGAAAGACGTGCCTGATTGTGCATATTCTCATAAGTTGCATTTATGTTTTTCTCTTGAGAACACTTCCCTAAATGGAAGGTGGTGTTGGGGGTCACAAGTGAAGAAATTGAATATTCTTCTTATGATGCCTTGATGGATTAGTGCAGTCTTGGAAACCCCCTCTATGGTTTGTAGGACTGAGAGACCAACTGTTGAATTCAAGTAAGTTTTGCCCATGTGGTCATTTGATGCAAGAAATATCAAGCTTTTTGGATACTTTCTAGTACTAATAAAGTCTTTGGAGTGTTGATTGATGATGATGGCTTAACTAGAGATGTACTGGAGCCTTTTATTCAATATATTTTATGACTTACTGGTATGCTCTGATCTGATACTGACAGGCTTTAGTTTGTTCTTAGACTGGTGGGGTATCTATCTAACTTTGAAGTCTTACCATTATACAGAGCTTTAGAGTTTTTTCTTAGACTGGTGGGGTTACCAAACTCACAGAGGTTTTGCCTTCATTGAGAAACCAACCAAATTTTAAGTTTCTTTCAGTTGTGAGCATTGATATTCTGACCCTCCGTTTGTGTGAGAGGAGAGACCCGGGCGGTGGGGTGGGGGCGGGGCGATATTTTGGAGTGTGGGTGCCAAATTTAATTGAAGATGGAATCAACATATGGTGATGATGAGAGTCTGGTTTCTTTTTTCTTTAGTGGTATTAAATTGGACAAAGATTTATGAATGGCACACACAATAGTAGGACTCTATGTTCGCAGGGTATAGGAATGCCATGCCATGCCATTGACTCTATGTTAGATATAGTAGCGAAACGGGTTTGTTTTGTGGAACTAGGATGTACTGTCTTTTCCTTTTACCTTCATCCTTTTGAACCTGTTTTTTGTGGCATTTGATTTGATTCTGATTTTTTCTGATTCTAGTAGCCAAACGGGTTTGTTTTGGTGGTCTTGTTTGTACTTTATATTTGTTGCGAAGTTTTGCTTGCAGGTTATTGATTTGTGATTAGTGTAGTAAGGCACCAGTCGGAGTCGCTTTTGTTGGTTGAAGACCGACCGACCGACCGAACATATAGATAGCTAAAAAGTCCTGTTTTTATCTTTATTTGTATGTGTATACTCAAAACCTAATTCAATGTCATATTGTAACTTATATATAATAGTGTATTTTGGTGCATCTTTCACTTGTTTTGATGGGAACCCTATTTTAGAGGCAAAATTTGGCGCAGTACTTGTGAGTTCTTAAAAGTTCACAGGTTTGGAGAAACGTTCATTTTGGTTGATGTATCTATGTTTAAATGACCATTTAATCTCCAATAATCATTTGATCAAGGCTTTTCGAGCCGAAAATAATAGCTGCTGCAGATATGCATTTAATTAATGTATGCTATTTATTTCAATATTATTCTACTATTAATGTGGGGTGAAATTATGACCTAAAATGAAGAAAGCCATTTCTTTTCTCCATTTTTTCTTAATATAAATACAATTTTGGTTCATTAATATATCTAATTTAGGCTTAATATTATCAATAAATTTGAAAATTTGAAAATTTTATTGATTTAAATTTGAAATTTATTTATGGGTCTAATAGGGACTAACCATAAAGACGACCATAAAGGAGGTTTTTCACCGCATCTGTACGGACGTCATGAATATTTTATTGAAAAAGGGGAATTCATTAATTTCAAATTTTTATGTAAATGTTAGCCGATGAGGTATAGAACTAAAATTCATTGCCGCCAAAATACGAGAATAAGGAAACTCGTTCGTGAATGGCAAGATTGCTCTTCGCTGGCCCTCGGTGTCATCGTCATCCATACTTATTCGCGAAATTCATTATGATTGATTGAGAATTTCTTGTTCGTACTTACAAATCCCCTCTCATCCAAAACCTTGCCGTCGCCATTTTCAGTTCTACCCGATCAGATGGGCCGCAGGCAAAGCGACGCCGAACGTGGCGTTTGTGCGCTCGCGATCATCTTTCTGATGGGCATTTCCTCCTGCATTATGGTCTTTCACTTTCTAATCGGGGCCATTCGGCCGAGCGCCGTCGAGGTTTCTTCTACTTCCGATTTGGTCAAGAATGAGGAGCACGAAGAGTGTTGCCGAGGTACTGACCATGTGGAGCTTTGGGGAGGTGCCGTGAAATGGGGCGCTAATTTTAAGTTCAATTCGTCGAGGGAGTGTTGTTTGGCTTGTAAGGCCATGTGCGAAGATCAAAGAGGTCGGTGTTTGTGTGATTCTTGGGTGTTCTGTGGCGATTCTAAGATTTGCGGATCAAGATTTGGTGAGGTATGGCTCTGGACTATCACTTTTATCCCTTCTTGCTCTGTTATAATTTAGGGTTTTCTGTGAGAAAGTTAATTCTCAGGCCATTCATGGTAGGAAGAACACGAAGTAGGTTCAAAATCTTTCTAGAATATTCAAAATTCTTAGTTTCATGTTCATGAGATTACAAAATACCAATTTCTGTTCTTGGATTGTTCTGGTGCGACTAGGAAATATAATATTTGTATTTGTGACATCCATATCCATATCAATTTGAGAGAGAAACGAGTGTCAGTAAGGACACTAGGTCCCGCGAAAGGAGTAGATTGTGAGATCCTACCTCTGGATAGGGGAACAAAACATTCTTTATAAAGGTGTGGAAACCTCTCTCTCGACGCTTTCTAAGAACCTTGAGGAGAAACTCAAAAGTTGCTAACTGTTATAAATGGTATCTTAACCAAGTTTCAATATTGGGACAGTGGGTTATGGGCCCACCACGCTTCCGCTGCGCCATTCTAATTGCCAGTGAAGATGCTGAGCCTTGAAAGAGGTGGACATTGGGCAATGTGCCAACGAGAACACTGGGTCCCGAAGGCGGGTGGATTGTGAAATCTATCCTTAATATTCGTCTCTATTTAGCTAATGATGAGAAATTTAATACGACATGGGATCTCGTAAATTTGATGATTGGATGAAAATTCATCATAGTTAGAAGGTACTTTGATTCGTTTAGTTCAGTGAATTTGTTTGGGAATTTGATTAATTTGAAGATTATAGTGTATTACCTGCGTGCCAGTGCTGGTTGAAGAAACAGAAGGATATAATGAACCCTGAGAGAAGAGAGTCAGGAGGTCAAGTCGGGTGGACTTCTGGCCTTGTGTTTGGGAGAAAACAGGTACTTTTCTTTTACTTCAACCTCTTTCTGTGGACTTTTGAGGCTCTGTGATCCAATTGGATCTTAGTTTTTATTGAATTTGTGTGATTGTTAGTAAGATAGGAGTTTGAATGGATTCAATCTTATGTGAATATGTGAGCAAAGTAGAAGGAATTAGTTCTCAAGTTTGAGAATAAGTTTCTGCGGTTTGTAGGACCAAAGACCATTTGAAGGTACGTGGCCCGCCCCGCCTAGAACAGTCATCTTCGACTGGGCTTACACACACTCGCTCACTTACCCTAGCCTCGGAAGTTTCAAAAACCGAAAGTTTAGTCCGTGACCTTTAAAAATAGTTCTAAGAGGTTCCCGTACCATTAGCGCTAATGAAAAACCTACCGTCAACTTTCTTCCCCTTATCTTCTTCTTCCTCCTTTCTACTTCTACTTCTCCGGTGAGCCCGCCGCTATCCCGGAGAAGAATGGGTGCATATGTTTGAACCTAATTCCCTATTTGGGTTCTAGATGGAGTGATTTTAAACTGCAAGACTCCATGGATTAAGAAGTAAGTGTTTGTTCATGTGATCAAGTTCTCATGGAAGTTCATTATTTTCAACTTAATAATGTGAGATGTGAACAAAGAAGTTCTGCCTGATCCAGACTTTGTTTGTGATCTATTTTGAGCCTCCATTAGTAAATGATCTCTCTTTCTTTTCTTCTTGTGAAGGGAATTGTTCGAGTGGAGACGGAGTACGGATCTTTTCGCATGAAGGTCGGTTGTTTTCTTCGTCTTTCAACTATTTTGAGAAGTTGGAATATGTCCTGTTTTTTCATGAATGTTTCAAAACTACCGTAGGAACTTGGATAGAAATTAGAACTTAGAATGGTATGGTGATTCAATAACCTAGGATCACGACTTTGATTTTAAATTGGAATTTAGAAGGGTGCGGCAATTTAGGGACTTAGGATCATGACTTTCTTTTTAAATTGGAATCTAGAATGGTGTAGCGATTCAGTGACCTGTGATTGGGACTTTGTTTTTAAATTGGAATTTAGAGAATGGTGTGTCGATTCAGTGACCTGGGATCAGAAGTTTGTTTTTAAATTAGAACTTAGAATAGTGTGGCGATTCAGTGACCTGGGATCAAAACTTTGTTTTTAAATTGGAACTTAGAACGATGTGATGATTTAGTGACCTGGGATCAGAAGTTTGTTTTTAAATTGGAACTTAGAATGGTGTCGTGATTCAATGACCGGGTAAGCTGACAAATTATAGATCGACCATAATAGGTTTGAGTTTAACAAACTTCATTTCACATTTACTTTCCCTCTCTTTGTTCTTTCACTTTCCTTTTATTTTATGCAGAATTCATCAACCAGAGGAAATATAGTAAGGACTATAAATTTGATATTTGACTCTCTCTCTCTCTTTCTCTCTCTCTCTCTCTTTTTCTCTCTCTCCCAGCTTTTTCCTGACTGCGCTCCTCATTCTGTGAACTTCATTCTTGAGCTCTTAGCATTGGGTTGTGTTGGTTGCCAATTTCATCGTGCTGAAAGTCGCGGAAGCTTCTGGTTTTCCAACGGGGACCATGTCGAAAACGTAAGCGCAACGAGCTCTATGACTTATTGTCACTGCCCTAAAGGATTTATATATCAGGTTTCAGTAATCTCATAGCCTTAATATGGTATATTTTTCATTTGTTGTGTGCTTTTTATAGGCTCCATATGGTCCTCCCTTTGCTCTAATCCAAGGAACTCTTGAAGCTCATGGAATCGTATTCGAGGAGAATCCCAAGGAATACTGTCCAACCATTAGAAGAGGATCAGTTGCTTGGGTTGATTCCGGCCCGGAATTCTTTATCAGCCTGGCCAACCACGACGAGTGGCGTAAGGCACACACCGTGTTCGGATCTGTTCTTCCAGAAGACATGGAAATCGTAGAGAAAATAGCTCAGCTTCCAACAAAATCGGAGGTTTGGCAAAACGTAGATGTCTCTGTTTTGGAAAAGCCTATTCCTTTGCAGTTAAAAGGAATGAAGACAAATCTATAGACCATGAGTTTGGTCACAGTCCTTTGTCATTTTGGCCACTTGGGTCCATAATATGGGAGTTTTGAATAAAGAATGTGGGTCAAAGTTGTTCTAAAAGGTGCTTACAATCAAACCACTTCTACTAACATATATAACTTGTTTCAAAAAATGCGATAATAGATTATTGAAGAGATGAAGAATACGAACCCGAGCAAACCCGTTCTTGGTTATTGAGCTACTTTCCCTTTATTAAGGAGAAAAATACACGAGACCCGTCTTCACACACACACCAACCCTCGCTCTATGAG